TGCGATAGAGAGTGTAAAACATTTTTTCTTGCTTAAAATTACCATAAAAGGAAAATTTTTAACAAAACGGACGTGATTAGGAGAGAGTTTTTTATTTTAGAAAATATATTAATAAAATTATTTTTTTAATATTAATTATTAAATAAAATAAAATTTTAAGAATAATAAAAATTTTGTTATAAGTAGAATTTATTATAAGAAACAAAGTTTACATAATATGTAAAAATTGATATTATTAATAAAATCAAAAATTATATACAGTATATAAATAATTTTTAATATTTTGTTGTTGTTTTTTTAAAATATTGTATATTTTATCAAATAAAATTTAAATATTAGGTAAAAATTTATGAAACTTAATATTTAAATACTTTAATAGACACAAACAAAATTTATTTATTTATATCAAATTACTTGTTAAAGCAAGAGTTATAAAAATCATGTGAGTGTTAAAATTTTTCATTCAAAAAAAAATCATTAAACATAATAATGAAAGTTTGTTCAAATTTAATAAACATTTAACCATATATAGAATATATTATGAAGAACAAGTTTATTTAATATATAAAAGCCATTTTTATTAATAAAATTTTAATTTAAATAAATAAAATATACTTTAAAAAGCTACGGTATAAATATAAATTGTTTAAATTAATTAAATTAATATTTCAAAACAAGAATCATAAGAGTAGCTGGTGGCACACTGGATGCGTAAGCTTTATTTTTGAAATAACTTGTTTACATAAAGTTTACACCAAAATCTCAAAGATGTAATTTATGTCTAGAAGGAAAGAAAGTTTTTGCTGAAAAATCGAAACAAATATGCAATCGAAAGTTGAGGGAAAAATAAATAAATTTGAATATGTGATCAGATGGTATTAAAATACGAAATATCATTCAATGCATATCCCCCATGTATTTGAAAATGAAAAAAAAAAAAGACAAAAATTTTTATAAGTATACTGCCTCATAACAAATTCCCAGTTTACATCTAAAGTTTATCTACAACATAGAATCACGTGAATATCATACAATCAATGAATGATATCAGAAAAAAATTGATCATTTTTTTAATGCACCAAATCATCAATCTGCGAATCGCCATGTGTACGCTTTCCTTGCGATGTCAAATGTGAAACGCAATTCCAGAGTGTAATATCTCCTTCTAATCGAATCTTCTGTCGCGTGGAGGGAGCCTTTTCAGACCCATTCCCATCACTCTCTGTGGCGTTACTACTCGAGTCATCGTCATCAGTAGCAGGCTTATCAACTCTCCTAACAACGAATTTTGTGACGCCAGTATTCTTGGCTTTATGTTTCATACTCAGATAGTCGTTAACACGAAATCCCAGGTCCATAATCAAATGCTCCTTAACAAGTTTGCTGATGGTACCACCGTGGGTGACTATCAATATATGTGGATTGCGTATTTCGTCTAGGCCATTTTTCAACAATTGTTTTCGATATTCTTCACTGCTGGGCAAATGTTTTTCAATAATCTCATCGAAGAAGTCGACCACCTGTGCCTTAAAATCTTCTTCGGGTTCACCGTAATCGTCCCATGAGGTACCTTCTTCTTTAATGAAGTCTAGGGCTTGGTATATGGTCAAGCCACTAAGTCTTCCCATGTCCTGTAAATTGATATCAATAAAAGGGATTATGATCAAATTACACAAAAAAGGATAAAAAAAATTTTTTTAAGAATTAATTACCCGTTCTCGAATCCTAATGTCCGTTGTGAATGGTGTCTCTGGATGATTTTTAGCAATAGCTTGCGCCGTCTAAAAAATGATGATGGATTAGATTAATAATTACAATTTATAATATAATTCATCGGACAGAGAATCATCTATCTTACATACCCTCTTTGCTCGATATAAGTCACTTGAATAGATATGATCAAACTTCATTTTGCGTAATCTTCGAGAGATCAATTCTAATTGCTCCATTCCAGATTTATTGAGCTTTGTATCTGTGTATCCAAACGCAAAGAATATTTAAATATACACGTGAATAACATTCTTAATAGAACAGGTAAAAATCGTTACCCATATGTCCTTGTAGAATATGATTCAAGTTTGCGTTCGTTTCGGCATGCCTAACGACGGTAATGTGTAATTGTGCCATTGTCTTGATATTGTGTTATTAATTAATTATATGTATAATATAAAATAATATTTGATTTCAAAAAAGAAAAAAAGTAATTAAATTTCAAATGTTTTTATCGTCGTTTAGGGAAGACTATAAGAAACGTGTTTTTTTTATGATTGAAGCAGTATTTAAGTATAAACAAACTGACACAGGACTAACTAAATTCGTGATATTGGTTTCTTGTGACCAGGGGCGAGCACCGAGCATAAAAAAAGGTATTGGCAGGCTTTTGTTTTGTTATTTGTTATTCTTTATATATTTTTTTCAAAGCAATCTGTTTAATCAGCATTATTTTTTTTTGGCATCAATCAAATTTGACTAATTCTGACTACCAAAATTCCAACAATGGGATGATCGTATTGGTTACACACCCAATAATTTATAATTTTGTCTCGGACTTTTGACCACAGTTATGGAACGTGACATTTCGCAGCACCTGTCGTGCAATCATCGACGGCGTTTGTCGTGTCGTGAAACAAAGATAACGAATTTTATTGCCCAGAAGCAAAAGAAATTTAATATTTATCGCAAGAAAATAAAACAGACACATGATGATTCCAAAAGAAATATGTCTTGAATTTTATATTGTTTAAACAAGAACTTTCAGATGTGTTGGCAGTAAGTCGACAATTTAAATAGATAAATTCTCGTTTTTTCGTCTAACCAGGTCTGTACCTTTATCCTATTCGCTATGTGTTGTTTATTTCCGAGATATAATAGTCCGTTTTATATACAATGGCCTTGACCCTTTTGTGTTCATTGATGTATTAATAATTAATAATAATACAAGTCAAAATTCTGTAAGTTAACATAATACTGTATATTAACATTATATTTCATATATCAATATACATTAATTATGATGTTTTATGTCGAAAATTTTAGATAAGAAATTACTGCATGTAAAAAATATATATTAATATTTTTTTATTTATTATAAAATCAAAACATATTTGTGGATGTGAAATTTATGAATGCTTTTTGAAATTAAAAATATAATTAATTATTGTTCTTGTTGCTAATATGTATATATATATTGTATATAGTTAATCACTTAAAACATAAATAATTTAATATATTTTAAATATAAAATAAAAAGGTTTAAAATTATTTGTTAAAAGTATTAGTACTAAAATATTTGAAAATTTTATTAACTTTAGATATATCCTATCATATATTATCATCATTTATCATTTTTTAATATACTGTAATATTTAATTATAAAACTTTGAATTCTTGTAATTTTTTTTAAAATTAATTCTATTCCTTTTGAAGGAATATAATTAATTATTTATTATTTAAATAGAAATATAATTTAAAAAATATTTGGATTAAGTAACCTAAATTGTAAAAAAAATTTATAAGTAGTTTTTTTAATAATAAAAAATATTTGAATTATATATGTTATTGTCCTTTGATTTATAAATTCATCTTTAAAAAAAATAATAATTAATTATATATTTAAAATTTTAATAATACGTTTGTAAAATTATAAAAAAATTTGAAAAGTTTATATTATATTATAATTATTTATAATTATTGAAAAATAAAAAAGTTTATATTTATATGAATTATACTTTGCTTAGTATTCATATCCCTAGATTGATAGTTTATATCAATCAAAACCACTAAAATATTTTATTGAAAAATTTAAAAATCATATTTTACTTAATTATCTGACTTTAAATTTAATAGTCGGTATCAATCAAAGAATTCCTGGAGTATTTACTAAAAAGTATTAATAAGATTATAGATACTGTTACTTTATAAGTTAAAAATATAAAGTAATAAGAAACTTATATAAAACTTAACTAACATGTTATTATCTTGCTTCTTTAGAAATCAAGATTAAATAGTTTAAAACTGGTAACAGAATTTCTATACCCTTGATTTTTACTGGTATATAAATTTACTTACAAAATATAATTTAACATATTTAATTAATTAATTGTATTAGTTAAATTAATAATAGTATAATAAATTCTGTCTATATTATTAGATATTTATAGTTTATTTACTATTGTTGATGGGGAAATTACATGGGGGTGTGGCTATGGTATGCGATCTGATATATCACGTATCCTGAAAATTGGAAATAATTAGTAGGGTTGCATAAGCAATAATGCAATAATTAGAACTTAGAATAGACTTTCCATAACTTTCTTATAAGAATAGTCTATCAATAATCTAATTCAAAAATAGAGAATATAGTTTCCTTGTCATCTTATGATATAAATAGAAGAAAAAATTGTAGAAAGCAGAAAGAGACAATACAAATAAGAAAACATATTTCTTAAATTAAAACCTTCTTAATTAGAACATGTGATAGTTGTTATCAAAATGAATAAAACTAATTAATTTACCTAATCTAGTACTTGTCACAAATAGGATGCTTGAAACCATAAAGGAAAAAGTGGTAAAAATTCATCAAGAGAAGCAATAATGGAAAAAGAAGGGAAGAGTTAGTAGAACTCTGCTAAACAATCCATATACTTCAAATAGAAAAGCCAAACACTTACCTGGTATTACACAAGAAGTGCTTAGGAGAAGTGATAGACTTGTCGAGAGAGACATTAACACTACTTAGTAATATAGTAAAATATTTATTTCTTATATATGATTATATAGCAAAATTAGATTTTGCCTATAAACAATATTTATAATCAATAAATATTGTATAATTGAAATAATAGCAAAAATATTAAGGAAAATTAATTTAATATATTTTATAAATTGAGAAAAAGAATACTACTTCTACTATATTCAAATACTTGTACAATTAATATATTTAAATAAAGACTTGTGTAATTTTTTATATATTCAAAACATTTTTACAAATATATTTTTTTTTACAATTATGGATATTATAGTTTTTATAAAGATTTTTTAAAAGAAAGATTACACAAATTTTATTTTTACTTTAAGTTATTTTTAGTATATGATTTTAAAAAAATAATTAAATATTTGATTTTTCAAATTTTATGGTAAAAAAATAAACAAATAAAATCTTTTTACAAATAGATATTAAACCATTAATATATAAAAATGTAATTTATAATAATTAATAAAATTTATATATATAGCACAGTTGATATTATTAAAAAAAAAGTTTATACTAAAAAAAAAAAACTCTCTCTTAATTGTGTCCATTTTGTTAAAATTTTCATTTTATGGTAATTTTAAGCAAGAAAAAATGTTTTACTTTCTTTATCACAAGTGAGTCCCAGCTCAGGAACTCAAGAATCTTCAAGACAACTGATGCAGTAGGAGACCTCTAATCAAAATCTATTCAAGTTTGAAAGTCTTGCTTATCCTTTGGTTGCATAAGGAAAGGCCTGTGACAGTTCTCTTTTCTTCAGTTCTCTTGCATTCCTCCTTACCCTTATTCTATTATAAAAATCATTCACATCATTACTATCATACTTGCTAAATCAAATACTTTTCAAAACACACACTCAAACAGAATTAGTAAGTCTACTGTTTGTTTCAAGTCAACTCTCATACATAATATTCTCATAGCAATATTTGCCGTGTCACTTTCATTCTTCAAAAATTTCTCACTCAAAAACTGAAATCAGTTTACACCCTCCAGATGATTAGCACTCTTCAATCATTCAATCAGATTTTGTCTAATGATCAAAACAAAAACCAAACAAGCTCAAACCAGTTTTGTATCACAACAATAACAAATAACTCACCACCAATAACCATAATAACAAACAACATCATATGTACTCTATTATCTATAGCATGCAGGGAGCTGGAGAATTGGAACCACAAGTCTACCAAGAAGTTCTTTTGTTCAACATATAGATTATATAGTATATTTGATTTAGTTCTAGTTATAGTCAATTTTATTTTTCTTTTCAATTCTCTACATTTAAAAAATCAAAAGAATTCGCAAAATTTCCTGGGATAGTAAGCATAGCCGCTACTCAACCTTATCTAGTACATTAATATTGATTTTGAATATTTTTATGATATTAGTTAAATATTAATAAGCAAGCAAGCTAGCATTTAACTTTTCTGAAATAATGAAAGAAATGTTGTTTCTTTCAATGATATATACCTTGTTATATACAAATCAAAATAAAGAAATGATATTTACCTACTGGAGAAATCCCCCCAAAAAAAGTTTATATTAACTTCTAAAAACTCTTTTCCACTTCTCTTTTGCACTTGAAAATTTCTTTTTTAGTAAAATTTTGAGTTGTTTACTTTTTTGCTTTTCCCTTTCTCTTCTTTTTTACTGCTTTTTTCCCATATCTCTTTATTTTCTCTTTTTTATTTTCACTTTTTCTTTCTATATACTCTTTTATATATTTCATCTCTTCCCCTTTCTTTTTTTCTTTTTTTGCTGAAGTTAGGGTTTTTTTTTTTTCTAAAAGTTTTCTTTTTAAGCCTCTCTTTCTTTTATAAATTTAGCTCCTTATAATATTAACCTCTTGGTTAGTTGAATTTCTTTTCTTAAGACTATATTCAAAAGTAGTAACTTCTCTTAAGACATGGACTTTGAAATTTTTCTCTCTTCCATGGCCTTACAGAAAAAGAACAGATGGTTTACCCCTCCAAAAGATTAATATGATTATCATTATCAAATTCAATATTGTTTACTTGTTGATAGTTAAACTAGATCTATCTAAGAATCTAGTATACTATTATTATTATTCGAAAGTATTCAAAGAGTTATACCCCACTGTATTTAGAGAAATATGGCAACTAATGCCAATGCAGCTAACAATAAGCTAGATTAGTTTGCAAGTGTCATGTTAGTGATTAGAAAAATCTAGTAGGATAATATGTAAAAACCAGATATTCTAGTTATTCCCACAACATGAGCTGGTGATGATAACAAAAGTTCTTCACTTATTCCTCTAACAATATAGATTCATTATATAAGATTAGATATTAACACTTTTAAAAAACATTAATCTCAATATGTCCAACATCCTCCTTAACAAATCATTACTTTATAT